TTAAACATAAGACCTAACACCATAAAAACCCTAGAAGAAAACCTAGGAAAAACCATTCAGGATATAGGCATAGGCAAGGACTTCATGACTAAAACACCAAAAGCATTGGCAACAAAAGTCAAAATAGACAAATGGGACCTAATTAAACTCCAGAGCTTCTGTACAGCGAAAGAAACAATCATTAGAGTGAACCGGCAACCAACAGAATGGGAAAAAATGTTTGCAATCTACCCATCTGACAAAGGGTTAATATCCAGAATCTACAAAGTACTAAAACAGATTTACAAGAAAAAAAACAAACAAGCCCATTCAAAAGTGGGAGAAGGATATGAAAAGACACTTTTCAAAAGAAGATGTATATGAGGCCAACAAACATATGAAAAAAATGCTCATCATCACTGATTATTAGAGAAATGCAAATCAAAACCACATCGAGATACTACCTCACACCAGTTAGAATGGCGATCATTAAAAAATCTGGAGACAACAGATGCTGGAAAGGATGTGGAGAAATAGGAACACTTTTACACTGTTGGTGGGAGTGTAAACTAGTTCAACCATTGTGGAAGTCAGTGTGGCGATTCTTCAAGGACCTAGAAATAGAAATTCCATTTGACCCAGCAATCCCATTACTGGGTATATACCCAAAGGATTATAAATCATTCTGTTATAAAGACACATGCACATGTATGTCCATAGTGGCACTGTTTACAATAGCAAAGACCTGGCACCAACCCAAATGCCCATCAACGATAGATTGGACAAGGAAAATGTGCCACGTATACACCATGGAATACTATGCAGCCATAAAAAATGTGATTTTGTGTCCTTTGTAGGGACATGGATGAATGTGAAAAGCATAATTCTCAGCAAACTGACACAAGAACAGAAAATCAAACACCGCATGTTCTCACTGATAGGCAGGTGTTGAACAATGAGAACACATGAACACAGGAAGGGGAGCATCACACATGGGGTCTATTACGGGGGCCAAGGGACGGACAGCAGGGGGATATGTTGGGGAGGGATAACATGGGGCAAAATGCCAGATGTAAGTGACAGGGGGATGGAGGCAGCGAACCACATTGCCATGTGCATACCTATGCAACAATCCTGCATGATCTGCACATGTACCCCAGAACCTAAAGTACAATAAAAAATAAAAAAATAAAATTGTTTAAAAAAAATAAATTAGCCAGGTATGGTGGTGTGTGCCTGTACTCCCAGCTACTTGGGAGCCTAAGGCAGAAGGATCACTTGAGCCCAGGAGGTCACAGCTGCAGTGAGCTGTGATCATGCCACTGTACCCTATCCTGGGCGACAGAGCAAGACTCTAAAAAAAAGTCACACAACAGATTATTCATGAGTTAAAATAAACTTGGCATCTACCAATCATCTCAGTGAATTACTGGTGAAAATTACCTAACAACTTTGTGCTCTCTGCTCCGGTCTTGACTGTAACACAATGCCACAGACAAGTTAAGACCCCACAAGTACCAGCTCATCGAAGCCGGTAAGGATCGGCCAAGAAAAAAGGACGCAAGTTCACCTTTAATTTGTCACTGTGCTTGAGAAATGTCAGCACCGGCAAATTCCCTGTTCTCCTCCAGGCTCAGAAAGGAACCTGGAGCTCCAGGAGTTTTCATGATTCAGACCTGATGATCAGAGGCTAAGCCATGCCCTAGAGGTAGGAGCAGTTAGGTTTTGGAAGTTTTTGCAATTACCCAGGCACTCAGGGAGTTGACCATAAATCCAGAGTCATGAGGATGGAAGACTGGGAAGAGAAGGCTGTCCCCACTCTTGTTTAGTGGGAAGGAGGAGTCTAGGAAAGGGTCCTAAAAATACTACATTTAGGGTATGTTCTGGCCCAGAAACAGCAGCTCTAAGTCCCTCCTGAGGTCTGGAGGGTCAAGCAAGGCAGAAAAATATGCAATTCATGAGAAGGCCCTCAGGCTGGGAAAGGCTTCTACTCTCTTTGGCACAAATCAAGAACCAGATTGTTCCTGCCTGCCCATGGTCAGAGATGAGGAAAGCACTGGTCATTCCTGAGCCATCTGGGCCATGACCATGCTGGGGACTTAAAGAGCAGGGTTGCTATCTTGGGTTGGATCCTTTATCCAAGGACCGCCACAAGGAGGGATCAAATGTCCTCTCCTCCGCCCCAGGAGGTTAGGGTGCCATGAGCTGTTCCTCCCACAGCAGCCTGCCTTGTTCTGTGCCAGCCTCAACCTTCCAGTGGCCACCTGCTCCAGTTAAGGGAGCTAGGAGACCTTGAAATAAGCCCTCTACCAGTGAGGGTGGCATCATCATGCCAGCTGATATTCTGAAGTGCACCAGAAACCAAATCAAACAGGACTGTGTGGTATACCCTGTGGAGATAATGAGTGCGGAGAGTGGCTGGCTGGTCTGCTTTTTCAAATTCTTTTTTTTTTTTTTTTTTTTCCGAGACGGAGTCTCGCTCTGTTGCCCAGGCTGGAGTGCAATGGCATGATCTCGGCTCACTGCAACCTCCGCCTCCTCGGTTCAAGCAATTCTGCTGCCTCAGCCTCCAGAGTAGCTGGGACTACAGGTGCCTGCCACCATGCCCGGCTAACTTTTGTATTAGTAGAGACAGGGTGTCACCATATTGGCCAGGCTGGTCTCAAACTCCTGACCTCGGCCTCCCAAAGTGCTGGGATTACAGGCGTGAGCCACCGCGCACAGCCTCAAATTATATTTAACACGTTTCCTTCTTATTTTTGTCCAGATGAATCTCAGGCAGTATGGACTCACTGCTATTATGCCTCCTCATTTTGGCCTAATCAAATACTTTGACTAAAGGGGTGGAAAGAGTCTCAGCCTCTCAGAGGAGGAAGCATGTCTTAAGCTTCTTCACCTTCTGCAATGCCTGGCCTCAGACAAATAGGCACTCAATAACAACTAATAATAATAATTGTATACATGTATGTTATAAAATTGTATACATATATGTTATAATAATTTTTGTGTGGTGCTTTACAATTTACAAAGTGCTTGTTATTTCATCACTTCGTTTAATTCTAACAACAATCTTTTAAGGTATTATTACCCTCTTCATTTTACTCAGAAAAGTATGGCTTAGAGAGGCTGAGTGACTTATCCAAGCTCACACAGCAAAGCTGGGACTTGACTCCAGTACCCAGGATCTCAATCTTGCCTTCTTGCTTGTCCCATAGCCACGTGCTGCTTTGATAAGACACAGTTCCTGCCCTCAAGGAGCTGAAGTTTATCAACAAGCACAAAGTGGAAGGACATCCAGGCTCCCCGGAGGGAACACATACCAGGAGATCATCTGCCTTCTGGGCTTACAGGCCATAGTTTTGTACCAAGAGGTATGAGAGGACAGCAGAAGGTGGGGGATAAAACCTGTCACTTCTGCTCGGCAGCTGCAATATGGCTCAGGTGGGTCTGGAGAGCCCAGCCTCGCTGGGGAAACAGCTTTACTTACTGTGTTAGTGAGAAGGCACCACTGCGAATGTTTACTGTGGTTTGCTGCAAGGGTAGGGTGGGGCATTTTGCGCCCCCCTCCCCCCCATCAAGGCTCCTTCCTCCTCTTCTCTTTCCTTCTGTTAGTTTCATTTCATGCTATGAATCACCAGGTAGCAAGAGAGGCGGCAAAAAGTGCCCTCTGCCGGCTCTGACTGTCCAGCCGCAGCTGATAGCTGCCCCTGAGGAGCGGCGGTTCTCAATTCTGGCTGCCCATCCGAGCCGGCTGTGCAGCCCGTTCAACGAGGATGTCTGCCCCACCCAGGGCTACTCACTCAGACTCTTCCAGAGGGGCTCAGCCCTTTGTTTTGCAAAGCTCCCTAGGAATTTCTGATGCATAGCCAGCACCTCAGGGAAAAGTCTACTCTAAGCAAAGCTTCAAAAGTGCAGCAGCTGTAAAGGACTCCAGACTTCCGTTCCAGGCTCAAGTGTGCCAGACTAGAAGCCACTACCTTTACGCCTGTTATTTCACCTCCTGAGTTGCAGTCTCCTCAAACGTAAAAGCGAGTGAAGCCAGGTTAAGAGTAGCTGCAATGAGTGAAGATATTTCTGCAGCAAGAGCTTTGTGAACTATTACCACTGACTGTATATCCTAGCATAATTTCGCAGTTTATCAACCTGTCTTTCCAATTAGACTGAGCGCCTCCCGGTTAAATTTGACATCTTGGAATTCCCAGCACCTAGTAGGAAAGATGACTAATAAATGCTTGTTAAATGAATATTAGCGACCCGCCAAGAAACCGTGAGGGTAGAAAGAGAAAGTCACGGAGAGGTGAAGAGGGAGGTTATTTTAATAATAGATCCAAATATACAGCAGCCACACGAGAAGCACAGCTGAGTCTACAGGAAGGTACTAGGCAGGGCGAAGCCGCCACTGCAGAGAATGAAGTCAGCGTCCTGGCAGGTTGGGGGCAGCTCCCACTAAACCCCTGACAGCTGCTGCCCAGCAACTGTTTGGGGGCAGGGCGACAGCAAAGGGGCAGCTTCCTGGCCGCCCCGCGCCCTTCCCAGCGCCCAACCTCCCGGAGACAGGGTGTCAGTGGCATGTGCTATTTCGAACGTCGCGTCCCCTGCCAAGCGCTGCGGGGTGGCGTCGCTGGCAAGAGATGAGGCGCGACCCAAGAGTTTGGGACCCCCCCCGAGGGGCTCGAGCCGAGGCTGCAGGAGGCTGGGCGGTGGGTTGGGGCTTGGGGGCTCGGGCTTGGCGCTGGCCTGGTCCCCACGCCACTGAGCCGCTCCACCTCCGCCGGACCTAGGAACCTTGCTACAACCCTCCTCTCCCCGGAAACGTGCGCTTTCCGGGTTGCCTAGAAACGACGCCCCCGGTTGCATAGCAACGAGGTTCCGGGTCCCCGGTTTGTTTCGCCCGCCGGGCGCGCGGACCCCTCCCCACTCGGACCCTCCAGGCCTCGCGGATCTGCCTGGTCCCGCCTACAGCGGCTGCCGCCCACCCTTCCTGCGTGCTATCCCGCATTCCGGCCTCGGCCCGCACTCACCTTTCTCAGGCCACTGCTATCCTTCACGTGCGACTTCGCTAAAACGCGCCACCAAACCCGCGCCTCGACGCGGGGCGTTGGTTTACGGTCTGCGCATGCACAAGGCGGGAGGAGCTCGGAGACTAGCCGGCCTCCCTCCCAGCCGAAGCCGCTGCCGGAAGCGCATGCGCCTCGCCTGATCTATTGCGTTTCTTTTTCCCCACGCAAGCATTCCACCGAGAGAAGAATGGGATCGGAAGTTCCAGCTGGGAACGGAAGTCTCTGGCTTAAAAGGGGAAATAAGTGACTATATCTGGGCTGTAGAGTGGGTAAACTGGATGTTTGAACTCCGGGTGGAAGCTAATCCCGTTCTTGCCACCGCTTGGCATTTGGGGTAATGTAGTTCTCGGGCTACAAATGTTCCTTGGGGCGTTGTGGGAAATGTAGTTCTAACCGGGCTGCTAACCAGTACCTGGTCTTCCTAGAAACTTTTCGCGCTGAAAAGGCACAAAAGAGAAAGGTATTAAAGGAGCAATTAAAGGCACACTGCGCTAGGAAAACGCATGCGCTCCCCCAGAGAGCAAATTCATACCTGAACACAGCAGACTCCCAAATGTTAGAATTTTAGAGGAGAGGAACCAACTCCCACTCTCCTTTTCTGCCACAAAGGCGGTGATAGGGACAGGGGGTCAGATAAATGCTAAGTAGAAAAGGGCGGGTCCCTGGTGAAACCCCACCGTCAAGCCCAAAAGCCTGAAACTGCGGTCCAAAGTAGTAACTTCTATCCCTGTTTTTCTACTTGAATGTTGCCTTTTCCTAAACCACCCACGGCTTTGCCTTGCCCCATCCTGTGCCTATAAAGACCCCAGACTCATCTGGCAGAGAGGAGAAGCAGCTGGACGAGGGGATGACCATGGCTGGACATCAGAGAGAAGCAACTTGTCTTCAGAGGGACAGCTTGAGGCATAACTTTGGAGAAGAATCTGGCCACAGACCGCTGGACTTCAGGGGAAGACTGCATACCCGCCTGCCCCGCCCCCCTTTTCAGTTCCCCTTCCGGCTGAAAGCCACTTTCATCAGCAATGAAATCCCTGGGATTTACCATCCTTTAATTTGTTCGTGCAACTTTATTTTTCCTGGACGCCGGACAAGAGCTTGGGAGTCACGAGTGTGGGTACAGAGGTTGTCATGCTGGCCCTTTGCCGTCGCTGGTGAAGGTCAACTGTGGGCCCACTAAGCTGTTAACACTTAAGGTGTCCACGGATGGCAGAGCCCAAAGAGCACTGTAACAAGCCCTCTTGGGCTTCAGGAGTCTCAGGCACCCCGCTTGGACGCTACCACAGGGCCTGCACGGAGGTTGCTCTGGCGCGCTTCAGCTCCTCCATCCATTTACCTGCCTGCTCCCTCCAATGAAGGGTGGAACGCAGTGAATCTGAGTGAGTGGAGTTTGATCCCACCCGTGCCGAAAAACGCCTGGCTGATTCCAGCACTTGGGCACTCCAGTTTCCTCTTTGTTTGCTTGCATACTTCCTCCCATGGCCTGTTGAAAGCAGCGGGCTGAGTAAACGGGGCACCCCTGTTGTGAGTCCTGTGAAGGAGTCAGGACAATATCCCGCTTCAGCAGCACCGTGAAAGAGAAAGAGCAGGGCTTCAGAACCTGTCGTGTGATCCTGAGCACACCGCTTCATTTCTCTGGGCCTTCATTGTTTGACGTTCAAGAACTAAAAAGGACCTAAAAATTCCGCTTCACAGGCGTGAAGTTTCAAGGAAGTAGCTACCATGAACATTAAAAAAAAAAAATCCAAGTTGCTGACTGAACGTTTTTATCACCATCAAGAGTTATCATAGGAGAGCTTCCTTTTGATGCTAAAACTTGTTTCTCAAACTCAACCCTTTAAAACGTGACTCTTCCCTCCCACCCCCAATCACTCAGCCTTCCAATTCTGCCTGCCTCCTAGACTATACACTCTGTAGGCTCCCAGTCAGTCACCTCACCCAGCTGTTTCTTTCCATCAGATGTTCCTCAGACTCATCTGTCTTCATCTGAGCTCTTGTCACTTTCTGCCCCTCAGCTAAGAGCCCTGCTTCTAGAACAGGCTCTGGTAGCATCCTGAACCTCACCTCCCAGCTTTTCTCACAGTTGCAATTTTACATTTGCTTGCGAGATCCTTTCTGATTTGTAGGATTACTAACCTCAGGGCACAGACTTTCCTGGGAAAGAAATGTAATTTTTTTGTTTTTAATGACAAATTAATTTACTTTCAACCCTCTTTTCCATATGAGTGGTAGAAACAATCTCAGATAGTTTAGGGTTCTTCCTCTCCTTGGATTTCAGGTTATACATGCCTTTTGGAAAATGAACACAGGGCCAAAGTTGGGAGGAGAAAATTCATTTAATCCTGGCCGGAGGCAGTGGCTCACGCCTGTCATCCCAGCACTTTGCGAGGCCGAGGCAGGTGGATCACTTGAGGTCAAGGAGTTCAAGTCCAGCCTGGCCAAAGTGATGAAACCCCAATTCTGCTAAAAATACAAAACAAAACTAGCCAGGTGTGGTGGTGCACTCTGTAATCCCAGCTACTCAGGAGGCTGAGGCAGGGGAATTGCTTGAACCCAGAAGGCAGAGGTTACAGTGAGCCAAGATCACGGCACTGCACTCCAGCGTGGATGGCGGAGTGAGTAAGACTGTCTCAAAAAAACAAACAAAAAAAAAAAAGAAAGAAAAAAAAATTCATCTAATTTTAGTTGTTAGTTGTTTAAGCTGGCGACTTCTTCCTGCCTAATCTCCTTGCCTTATCCACACAGATTGCCACTGAAGCTACCTGGGAAATTGAGCTGCTTCTGGGTGTTTGGCCAAGGTGTCCCCATGCTTCCCAGGCAGCAACAGTAGCCTTGGTTCTCTCCTCAAGGCATAGAGTTCTCTCCTCAGGGACTCACCAACGCCAGTGCATATATCTCTTTTCCCTTCAGTCTCCCTGTGGCTCCAAAATCAAGCGCCCTGCATTTTTTCTATTCCCTGTAGGCTGGCTTATGAAACTGAAAAGGCTTGAAGGGACTTCCTTGTTCCTGCATTCTGCTGTCACAGCCATAAGCTCCCCGGGAGAGGGGCACCTCTGGTTTGGCTCATTGTGATATTACCAGTACCTAGCGTTGTGCTTGGCTGACATGCTGTGGGTACTCAATAAAGATTGGTCCAACAATTAACTACTGAGTCTCCCTCCTTCTAGTCTGTCCCACTCCAACCCAACCAGTAAGTGTCTTCCAGAGGAAACTTCTGAAAGTATGGTCATCACTCCACAGATCAAATGTGAAGACACATGCTGTTCTGCTGCCAGCCCAGTTTAACCACCCTGGGTTCAAGGCTTCTTCTAAAGGGATCCATTTGATTTCCTACTACATATCCAAGTACAGTACTTGAGATACCGGGCCTGTCAGGCAACCTGTCTTCCAACCAACAATCATTCTAAAGCTCCTGCTACGTGCCAGGCACAATGTAGCACTCTTACACTCTGAGAGCAAGAGTAACCAGAACATTATGGTTCCTGCCGTCATGAAGTTTACAGTCTAGTGGAGAACCCAGACATCAGATACTTATAAATACATCATTACATGATTACAGTTATTTGAAGTGGTTTGGAGGACAATTACAGTTTGCTGTGTGGACTAAATAGAAACCAGGGGCCATGAAAAGGGCTCCAGAGGAAGTGACATTTAAGGTGAGACTGAAGTTTACATTAGAGGGTTTGGGACAGGAGGGAGAAGAGGGAGGGGGTGGAGGAAAGTGGTCCAGGAAGAAGTTCTGAAACCAGCCAGCGCAGGTATATTTGAGGAACTGAAAGGCCAGTGTGTCTGGAGATTGAGACTGATGGTCAGCATGGGCCAGATGGTATAAGACTTGGGGACAAGTTTTCTCAGCCGGAAACTCTCTCCCTCATTGATGGCCTCAGGAATGATCCCTGGTTGGGGCTCAGAGAATGATACCCCAAAGTATGGTGCTTTAGTATTGTTTTTGAGCAAATAGGCTGACTGCCTGATGCACATAGAAGCCAATACTATGGTACCAGTTTTTGAGAACAGAAAGGCTTTATTGCAGGGCGGCCCAGCAAACAGACTGGATGGATAGCTGAAAACTGTGTCCCTAATTTGGAGTCTAGGGCAAGTTTTAAGGGGCAGAGGGTGATATGGTTTGGCTGTGTCCCCACCCAAATCTCATCTTGAATTTCCACATGTTGTAGGAGGGACCTGGTGGGAGGTAATTGAATCATGGGGGCATGTCTTTCTTGTAATAGTGAATAAGCCTCATGAGATATGATGGTTTTGAGAAAGAGGAGTTTCCCTGCACAAGCTCTTTGTTTTTGCTTCCTGCCATCCATGTAAGATGTGACTTGCTCTTCCTTGCCTTGCGAGATGATCTTGAGGCTTCTCCAGCCACGTGGAACTGTAAGTCCAGTTAAACCTCTTTCCTTTGTAAATTGCCCAGTCTTGGATATGTCTTTATCAGCAGCATGAAAACAGACTATAAGAGAGGGCAAGGAAAAGTGTTAGGAATTTTGGCTTGGCAGGGTCTGATTGGAGGACTTCAAATTTGACTACTTGGGTATGTTGAGGTGGATTTTAGCCCTGGGTCTTTCTGGTCAACAGACCCTTTGCTCCTGAAGGTGTTCTAGCATTTAGGTTCTGGTCATGTCCAGGTTTTCTTCCTCCCCAGGTACCATGGGGAGGAATCATCAGTTCTGGGTGTTGTTAGAGGTCAAAGCATTTTCTATTGTGCCTGCTCTGCTGACATGACTTGGAGTTTTGGCTCTGTCATACCTACAAAGTAACATGACATTCTGTTATCAAAAGAGTAGGCCCACTTTGGACTGGTCCTGAGGTTACAGCATGCTAAACACTTTTGAATGAAAAGATATTGCAAAGTCTTAGAAGCTGCCTCAGAACCAAGGACTTTCTAACCTTCTGTTGCTTCCTGACTCCCACCCTAAGTACAGGGAGAAGCTCTCTCTAGAAGTTCCCTTATCTGACTGAGAAAATTTCTTTCAAAAGAAATGCAATTGTCTCAAATCCCCCTCCACAGGAATCTCATCAAATAACCAGAAAGATTAACAACTGGAGAAGAATAAAAACTAAAAAACAAGTCACCACTACACCTAGAGAGACTTTTAATCTATTCTTCTGAAGGCAGCTCTAGCAGATTACTTGGGAGACTTTATGTGCATATTAAGACAACCTTTGTTCACAAGGGAGCTCTGCCCCTCACCTTCCCACAATTTGTTGCCACCTCCTTCAGAGCTTATAGGAATTTTGTCCCAAGAAATTGTCTGTTCTTGGGGCTCATTGATTTCCCCCAAAAATTATTTACTACCCCTCAAAATTGCCTACACTTCCCCATCTCCCTCTTTCCCCAGTGCCATTT